CTTATATAATTTTATATAATATTTTAATATTTTATATAAAATAATTAAAATAAAATATATAAAATATAAATATCACTTTTTTATATTATATAAAAAATTCAAATAAATAATTTCTTAAACTGATAATGATTAAAAATTTAATCACTCGATTTAATAATTCGATTGATTTAAAAGATCAAGTGAAAATTATTTTTTTTTATAAAAAATAATAAATAATATGATTTTAGAAATAATAAATATACTTGCTCATGAATTTTGATATTTTTAATACATAATTGATAAACAATATATATTTTAAGATTTTCTTTTTTTTAAATATATAATATTAAATATATTATTTCTTTAAAAACAAACAAATTAATAATTAGTAAAATTAAAATGATTAACTCACCCATGAAGAAATTAAAAGAACGTTGATATCGCTTGATGATTCTTCACAATATATCTTTTCACTAAGAAATTTATGAAATATACAATTATAACGAGACAATATCCATATTCGAGTAAAAAGATAAAATAAAATGATTGAATCTTATACTTTTTAAACATTATAATATAATAAAACTTCTTTTTTTAACCACTTTTTCAAATTTTTCACTGATCAAAATTACGTTGCACTAATATAATTGATTTTATCGAATTACTTCGAAATATATCGAATTACTCGAAATATATCGATTAAGATCGAACGGATAACCAGCGACATTTTGTATAGTCGAAATTAATCGATTTTTGAAATTAAGAATTATTTATATATAACAAAAGACAGTCGTTTTTTTATTGAAAAATTAAAAATACTAATAAAAAAAAATAATTCTTAATATTTACAAATTCAAAAGAACATTTTTTTAAATATTTTATACATTTTCATTAATTCCATTCAACATTTCAAATATATAAATTGAATTAAAATAAATTTTTAAGAATATAGAATTTTTAGAAATGAATTTCAATACTTATATTTTATATTATACAAATCTTAAAAAATATGTAAAATTTATTACATAAAAATAATAACTTAATTAAATATATTGCGAAATTATTTTTTTATAATCATTATTTTATATGATTCTTAAAACTTTAATATTTATTATCTATAAATTATTTGTAGAAATAAAATGTATCAAAATTGTTAGAAAATAAAATAATCAATAAAATCAGAATAATCAATATTATTATCGATTTCACTTTATCTTTTAAAAAATCAATCAAATTATTAAATCGAGTGTTTAAATTTTTAATCATTAAAATTTTAAATTATAATAATAACTACACATATACATTGATATGTATATACATATACATATGATAATTGCTGATAATTTTTAGGTTAGCAAAGATTTGAAAATGATAAAATTATGTAATTATGTTATCATATTAATTTAATAATAATTAATGCTGTTGTTTATAAACAAAGAATTATCATGTTTAGATATGCAATTTATTATGCAATACTATTTAAATATTTAGATAATTAGATGTTGATATTTTTATTGAAATATTCTTTATCTCACTTAGAATAATAAGATTTTGAATAATTATATTTACTGATATACAATATATTAAACATATTAAAAAAATTGTAAATATTTAAACAACTTAAGCTTACTTTGAAGTTTTCAATATCCGTTTAAAGATATAATATTAAATATCAATATATAAATAATTTAATAAATAAAATACTAATAAAAAATAAAAATAAAATCAATTTGTATTTTTATTACGTTTTATTATCACAGTTGACATTAATGCAACAGATACATAATTATAAGTGTATTAATTATTAAATATATATATAAACATATGGATTCATTGTTATATTTTCAATATTACAGTTATTATATAGTAACTGTTATAAAATATGAACTTAACACTGTAAAATATATATTTGCAACATATCGCAATATATTTGCGATAGTGTAAAAAGCTTATTTTTAGATTTATTTCTAAATTTTCTACATTACGCAATTGTAATTAATCATTATTTTAGAAGATTTTAATAGTGCTATCATATTATTATATTTTAAAAAGTGCATTATATAACATTAATAATTAATGTTAAATTTTTCATACCATCAATATAATATTCTAAAGAAATATGAAATTCTTAGAACTTAACATTTTAAGATGCAAAAACCAAAGAATAATTCAATTTATTATGCGAATACAAACTTAAACATTAGGTTCTGTCTCACTTAAGGTAATTTGTTTAGGAGGTGCAAAATCAG